TGAGACTTCTTACAGTTGTAAATTAATCCCATAAAATCAAAGATGTAGTTGGCCTGATTCACCAGTTTTAAACTCATATAACTCAATGGTATCAGGTTTTTTTAAATAAGATTGAAACACTGGAGCAGATTCTCGGCTGGAGTAATTCATTGTAGCACCATCAAAGCCAATGGAGAATCAAAGATTCACCCCATTTGAGGATCGGGCCCTCTGCCTTTACTACCATGATGTACTTCTTGATTGGAGATCTGATTACAATGAGTTATCTGAGTATTGCAATTATCTAGATATAACACAATGTGTTAAAGATTGAGCTTCACTCTTAGCTATCCAGGTCCATGGTTATGTTAGTTTAACCCATTCATAGCACTATTGTCAATAAAATGTATCTGAAGCTTAATATGCAACTTGCTAATATGGAAACATACACTTAAAGTAAAACTGTTTATAGCAAAATAAACTGAATGCCCTGAGTTCTAATTCTCTCCCCTGACATGGGCTGTGACCAACACACATTGATCTCAATAGGCATTACTCATATCCCACCTGGGAGTCAAATTAGATCCCAAAATCGTGACAAGGCAGTTAGAGTGAATCTCTATCCATACCTATTCTGGAGTAGCTGAAAAAGATTTAAGAGTGTTCCACTTCGTATTGCTCTATTAACATTTTCCCAAAGAATCATTAAATTCATTAATGTCTGCATGAGAAGAAACTCCTGCATGAGGCAGACATATCTTAGTATTATTTAGTATGTTTCATCAGTAAACTAACAGTTGCATATTGAGAGCTGACTTCTCTTATTGCTAGTTATTTCCTTTGTTCTTTTTCACTGTCCCAAACTTCTAAGTTGTCAGTCAGTTAATATGACAGGAACCCCATAGGTTACATTTGTCCATGGTAGACACGCCTTCCTTTGTTAATCCAAGTCTAACAACTGCAGCATTTAATGTTTTAGCCACAACAAAACATGATATAATGGGACTCTGAGACCACTAAGAGGAGGTGCTTATGTTACTCAATTAGAACAGATATTATAAAAAAGAAAAGTCTACAAAAAAGGCAGTGTCTCTTTTCCTGTATTGATTTTTGCAGCCTAACTCTCATGGTGATTAAACACTGGAACAAATCTGGTTGTAGAATCTCAATCATTGGAGATAGTTAAGAGCAGGTTAGACAAACACCTGTCAGAGATGGTCTAGACCAGGGATGGGCAATAAAAAAATGGCAGCCTGCAGGGTTAGTCCCTGGCAGGCCACCGCTGCTATGTTTACCTGCACCTCTGCAGGTGTTGGAGGATTACAGCTCTGGTTGTCTGTGAATTCCTATTCATGGCCAATGCGAGTGGTGGGAAGAAAAGCAGACCGGGACACCGCTTCCTACTGCTTGCACTGGCTGTGAATGGCGATTTGCGATCCTCCATTACCTGCTGAGGCACAAGTAAATATGAAGGTGGGGGCCTGCCAGGGACTAATCCTGTTGACTGAATCCAGCCTATGGACTGGAATTTGCCCACCGTTGGTCTACAAGGTACTATACAGGGGCCTGGGCTATACAGGGGCCTGGGCTTGTTGACATCTTGAGGTTCCTTTCAGTTTTTTGATCATTCCCTTTTCTGCATATGTAGAGACATTTGGCAAGAGGCTGAGAGCTGTGTGTTGACCCATTTGGTATTCATGTTGGAAGATAATGTAGTTGATGTGAAGAATACACAACACATTTAAATATTTCAGAGACAAAAATTAGAAATACTAAATTTGCCTCTGTGACTTCTCAGTTCTGATATGTGAAAACTCTTTTTATTAGCTCATTTAATCATTATTCCTTTTAATGCTCATTAAAGATTTTCTTGTAACTTAATTTCTCTGTAGTTATTTTTGTTTCTTGCCAGTATTACCAAGCTTTTCTTTTAGCCTTATCAGACAGTTAAAATCTCAAAATTAATAGGTTCACCGATTTAAAATGTTTACAGTGCTGCTTTGTTGTCATTAATTATTGCTTCCATTGCAGGTTAATTAATAAGAGATTGCATTTTACTCATTCCCTCTCTTGGGAAACTGCTTCAGAGAATTACCCAGCTAAGCCATTGCCTAACAGTTTTAATCCCAAGTGCCTAATATTTTGCAGTGATATTGAATTTTAGCAATCAGATAGAGCCATTAAATGCTGAAGGCTAACATGAATGATACATTTATGTAATTGTGTATAATTGCACTATCTATCTTTGTAGAACTTTTTATGAGATGTATATAAACAAGAATATTTCAAAATTATGATGGAAGTCAGAATGCATTTTGAAATGCACCATTATAAAAACTTAATTATCTCATTGCACATTGAACTTGGGTAAGCAAAACTTACAGTCAGCTGCCCAATATCTCTATAAATTTGACCAGTTAATAACAGACATGGCTAATCTATTATACAAGTAAGCATTTTTCTAAATGAACAGGAACATCATTTAACAATTCCTATTAACATACCTGCACTGCTCTTTCATACTAGCACATATCAGGCACAGCAGCAGTCAATAAAACTATGAGAGAAACGAGTTACAGTGCACCACAACAAAATTGAAAGTTGTAATCTTTCTCTGACTGAAGTAAATAGGAGTTTGCATTTGTATTTGAATTGAAGTTGAATTTATTGGAAACAGGTTTGGGCCAAAATGTATGTAGTCTTCTCACAAATGTATCATTAGGAAATGAAATATGAACACTATAAAATGAGAGGGAGTTTTCTTTTGTGATGGTACAAGTTCCCTACTTACAGATGGAATGACGGATAATAGAGTTAGACAAATTGTCATGGGTCATCCTGTCCATTGCTCTGGCATAGCAATGTTGTTCCTTACAAGATCTGTCTAGTCCAATTTTAACTTGCTTAAACAAGAGTGCACCCCCCCACTTCCATTGGCTTGTATCCTAGAATGCAATAACTATATTCAGCCCAAATTTTCCTGTGGTCTAATTGTAATATTCAAGATAAAGGGTAAAATCCTGGCTCCACTGAAACTGATGAGAGCTTTACCATTGATTTCACTTTGGGCCAGATTTTCAAAGGTATTTCCATGCCAAAATATGTAGATAATCATCTAGGGTGAGTTTCACAGGGGGGATTTAGACAGTGTTGTGTGCCTACATTTTTCTGCTGCATAGGTGCTGACTTTGTGGATCCTGAAGCACCCATGCTGAAAAAATAATGAGTGCTGAGCACCTACTGGCACTGATCAACTCCTCCTCCTCTCTCCTAGCACCTCCTGCTCATTGTGATCAGCTGTTCTGCAACATTCAGGAGGCCCTGGAAAGAAGGGGGCAGAGCAAGGGTGGGGTGTGCTTAGGGAAGGAGATGGAGGCAGAAATAAGCATGGCAAGGTGCAAGCTTAGAGAGAGGGATGGATTGGGGGTTGGGAATGAGGTTGAGCACCCTCAGGGAAAGTGGCAATTTAGCACCTCTGCCCTGTTGTTAAGTGGAATTCTCAGTCCCAAGATAGGCATCAAGGCTCCCTATAAAGTGCATTGGGCGCCTAGAAAAGGGATTAACAGAAGTCAGCATACTGAGTGGGGAACTGCCTAAATTCCTCAATAAGAAAGACTGAGAAGAAGGGTATGGTCTAGGCCTCACTGTTCATAGAGAGTTAGGTGCCTATGTATGCTGGAGAGCCACAGCTTTGAACTTTTTGTAGGTATCCAAATCAGCTATTTCTCAAGAAAAACTGAGGTAGTGCCATTGCTGCTCATCTGCTATTATAGCTCAGCCCAGCGGCTAGAGAGACTGAGGTTCCACTCCATCTCTGCCTGCTTTCACTAAGTACATGCTGCTTGTTCAAATAATTCAGTAGTCATTGGAGCAAGGACTTAGGTCTCCTATATCCTAGAAGAGCACTCTAATTACTGGGCCAGAGTGATTCCTTTTCTTTTTCCTTTTAGAGGGAACACTGGTAGTAGCTTAGGCTGTGTCCAGACTCAAGAGTTTTTTCGAAAAAAGTAGCCTTTTTTCGAAAAAACTTCACCTGCGTCTAGACTACAGCCGCGTTCTTTCGAAATTAAATCAAAAGAACGCGGCTTTTCTTTCGACGGCGGAAAACCTCATTTTCACGAGGAAGAACGCCTTTTTTCAAAAGTGCTCTTTTGAAAAAGGCGTTCTTGAATGCAAACAGGGCTTTTTCAAAAGAGAGCATCCAGACTGCCTGGGTGCTTTCTTTCGAAAAAGCGGCTTGCTTTTTCGAAAGTACTGCTTGCAGTCTAGATGCTCTTTTTTGAAAGAGGCTTTTTCGAAAGTATCTTTCAAAAAAGCCTCTCTTGAAAGAGGCTTGCAGTCTAGACGTAGCCTTAGTGGTTGGGTTGAGGATCACAATTTTAGAATTAGGTGCCTCAAATGGCAGATAGGTGCCTGAATCCCTGTGTGGATCTGGCCCCTATGGACTTCAGATCCTATCATGTTAAGTGGCAGCTGAGCCATGGTTTTGTGAATGCTAGTGGCACCCAGAAGGGCAGTTGTGTGCCAAGTCAGCCTCGTGAAACTCGTCTATTGTGAGATTCGTCAGCTACGCCAAAGCAGGTTAGGTGCCCACATCTCATTGTTTTAAAAGAAGTTAGGCAACTCTGCTGCTTTTGTAAAGCACACTAGGCACCTAGCTGCATCTTTAGGCATCTAAATACCATTGAAAATCGCCCATTGATTTCAAAACTATACATTCAGACAGAATGTCTTTAAAAGTAAATATAGCATAATATATTAAATTATGGTCTTGGTATTTTTCAATAGCAGTCATTTTATATGACTTGGAATGAAGTGAAATGAAACTAACATCACCTGATATATGAAGGAGTTTTACATGGAAAATATTCAATATACAGACATTTTACAAGTGATTTTTTTTATGATGGTGCTATATACAAAATAACATGTTAATAGCTAGGGATCTATTCTTTAGTCACCTCCTATATTTATTAAATATGTTTCAGACATTAAATGTATTTACTTTTTCTCCCATCCAGGTAGCTTCTCTTGGAGTCACTACGTTCACATTGTGTGCCCTTTGTATAGACCGATTTCGTGCTGCCACTAATGTACAGATGTATTATGAAATGATTGAAAACTGTACCTCAACAACTGCCAAACTGGCTGTTATATGGGTTGGTGCTCTGCTATTGGCACTTCCAGAGGTCGTTCTACGACAGTTGACAAAGGAAGACTCTGCATTTAGTGGCAGCCCACCTGGGGAACGTTGCGTGGTAAAGATCTCTACTGAATTACCTGATACCATTTATGTATTAGCTCTCACATATGATGGTGCAAGACTCTGGTGGTACTTTGGCTGTTACTTTTGTTTGCCTACCCTTTTCACTATTACCTGTTCTCTGGTAACTGCAAGGAAAATCAGACGAGCAGAGAAGGCTTGCACAAGAGGAAACAAGCGACAAATTCAGCTGGAAAGTCAGATGAACTGCACAGTGGTGGCTTTGACTATTTTGTATGGGTTTTGCATCATTCCTGAAAATATCTGCAACATTGTGACTGCCTACATGTCCACAGGGGTCTCACAGCAAACTATGGATCTCCTCCATCTCATTAGCCAGTTTCTTTTGTTCTTTAAGTCCTGTGTGACTCCAGTTCTCCTTTTCTGTCTTTGCAAACCCTTCAGTCGGGCCTTTATGGAATGTTGTTGTTGTTGCTGTGATGAATGCATCCAGAAGTCTTCAACAGTGACAAGTGATGACAATGACAATGAGTACACAACAGAGCTTGAACTATCGCCTTTCAGTACCATCCGTCGTGAAATGTCCACCTTTGCTTCTGTTGGCACTCATTGCTAATTGACTCTTTGGCTTTTTCTGCAGTACCCCTATTTTTGTAAACTTCACATTTTTTCTTGTTGGAACAAAATGGAAAAAAATATGGCTTATAAGAAATACCCTGTAAACTGATTTGTATAGTAACAGTTGTGCTTTGGAAAATAATTTCTGTTTAGTTATGAAAATGAGACAGAGGGCCAATGTGGAGTTTTAAATCATTATATTTGGGATGGTGCTAGTGTTTTATTATTTAAAGGGATAGGAGAAACCATGTTGACCTACTTTATTTAACTTCTTGCTAATTTTTTTTTTGATAATCACTGTAAATTGATTACATAGACATTGTGGGTTTTTTTTTCAAGATGTTTAATGTACAAGATATGGTAAAAAATTTTGAAGCAACTTTTAATCAATTTACTGTATAATATTGTGAGGTTATTTGGAGTTTGGAAAATTTACAAGGTAGCAAATAATAAATGAGATTTTATTCTTTAAATTAATTGTCAATCTGTATTTAGCTATTTAAATATTATTAAATTGCCTTAATAAAGATAAAAAAATCTTTGCTTTACACAGACTAATTTAAATTAACCATATTTAATTTACCATTCACATACTTACCCTTGGAGACAGTAATTACCATGTTTAAAGAAGATGCTTGTAATGGAACTGGCTTTACATGAGCAGTTTTAAAATGTGTATTATAAAGGTTCAATGTGTTACATTTAACATTTCCTTTTTTAACTTATAGTTACAGTTTCTAAGTTACTTGGATCTATTTGAGAAGTAAGATTTGCTTTTACCTTGAATTATATTATGTGTGGCTTCATTGACAGAGTTTCTTTTCACTTTTTTTTTTTTACACTAAGGACATGCCCTCTATCTGCACATGTAACTCCCACTGGCATCTATGAGGCCAGGTCTACACTACATGGGAAGGTCTAAGTTAAGATACGCAACTCCAGTTATGTAAATTATACAGCTGTATTTGACATATCTTAAATCCCTGTCCACACAGCGAGAGGTCAACAGGAGCAAACACTCCTGTCGATTTCCCTTACTCAGTGCGAGGTGTAGGAGTACCAGTGCTGATGGGGGGTGCCCTTTGAGTTCTATTTAGCAGGTCTATAGTATACTCACTAAATTGAACCTTGGAAGATCGACCACAGCACTGTCAATCTTCTTTGAAATGTAGAAGTACTCTGAGAATCCCACTGCAGAGTCAGGGTGCTATTTTGCTTTAGGTTTGGTGATAATAAACATGAGGGTCTGAAAGATGTAGAGAGTGAATTCTTTTTTAAAAAACACAAATTCATTTTTAAATACACAGGGCCTAATCCAAAACCCATTGAAGTCAGTGGAAATTCACCCATTGAAATCATAGGGGTATCAGGCCCATATTCCCTGCTTGTGTGTAGATGTGGACTATGTTATTTTGGAATAATGTCAGTTATTCTGAAATAACACTGTTGTGTAGACATAGCCTTAATGTCTTGGCAAAATTGATGTGACTTCTGAAAAGGAATACTGTATATATTTCCCTTTATTTTACATGTTTACACATACTTATTTATATCTCTATGGGGAAAAGTAATTCCTCATTACTCAAACATACACCAAATTCAACTGAAAGCATAGTTAATCTGTTTGTGTCCATTTTGTTACTTGTATCTCTGAATTAAAATTGGACAACCTTTATTGCATTAGACCCTGATTAATGAAGTTATTTAAGCATATGCCTAACTTTTAAGAATGTGCCTAACTTTAAGTATGTGCAAAAACTTCAGGGGATAGCCGAGTTAGTCTGTACAGGATAAACTTAAAAAACAACAAATAGTCTGGTAGCACTTTAAAGACTAACAACGTATAGATGGTATCATGAGTTTTCATGGGCACAGCCCACAAGAAGATCATGATACCATCTACATGTTTGGTTAGTATTTAAAGTGCTCCCAGACTATTTGCTGGTTTTTAAGTTTAAGTATGTGAATAATCCTATTGATAAGGGTTGATAGGTACGTGCTTAAATACTTGCTGAATCAAGATCCAAATTCTCCAGCTGTTTTATAGTGGACTTTTGTAGACATTTCCTCTCGTAATTCCCTTTCTGTACACTTTTTGGAAGGTAAAGTGCTTGGGTACATGAAATAAATTATAGACAGTATTAAGTAGACAATATGAAAATAAATTCTACAGTGATGGATGCAGCTGCTTCGTTACAGGTACCACTCCCACATTTTGTTTGTGCTGTGTATTTCCTGCCCTTATCTGCAGGAGTCAACATTTAAACTCTGTACTTTTGCTCTAAACTATCACTTTGCAGTCTGAATTTGGTTCTGTTTGCTATCCCTCTTCCATGTTGGTGAATACTGTTGCTAAATGTACCCTCAGAGATATCTGAAAAAAGAGACTGAGAGCAAGACCACAGAATGCAGAGATATGCTATGTGTGTAGTTGTTCAAAACATCATCTGGAAACTTTTATCTAAAATTTATATAAGTTTGTGTGCAATACTGTGCAATACAGCACAGAGCTGCAAATCCCCCAGAGGAAAGGAGGGTTGATTATGTCTTCATTTCTTCTGACACTTCATTTTTTCTCTAGCTTCACAGGTTGCAGTGGGAGTGCATAAACTGTACCAGAAACTATCGTTTTCCTTCTTTCAGTTTGAAGTTGTTTACCCCATGTAGCCAATCCAATACTCTTCCCCACTGACACGTTTCCAAAATATCTATACATAATTTCTTCCAAAATATTATAACATTTAAAAACATCAAGGTTCAGAAAAGAGACAATGAACGGATGGGATATGAATATTAATAACTGCATGGCTAACATCCCACTTACCCCTTTAAAAATGTACAGTGATACCTCTGGCTTTAGACCAGGGGTCCCAGATTCCTGACCTGTGGGCCAGTCCTGGCCCGATCACTTGGAAAGGGTTCTGGCACCATGCAGCAGCAGTGGCTACAGAGCAAGGGAAACAGAGCACACTGGGTAAGCATACTTCTGCTGCTGCAATGGCTCCTGCCAGTGCATGGGTGTGTGACCACTGTTGCCAAACGGCACCAGCCTCCTGGTCTCCCCCTCTCTGGTATTTCCCAAAGCTGCATGCTCAGGGGCTGGGGGAGCTGGTAACAGGCAGCTGGTAACAGGCAGGCCTACTGGGAGTCCTGGGCTGGATTGCATAATTGCTTCAGCTGAGATTAGCTCATGGGTCGGGAGTTTGAGATCCCTGCTTTAGACAGCTGAGCATCACTATGTAAGGTTCAGTCTTGTTTTTTTCTGTTGCTGAAAAGAACATTGTTTGAAGTTGTTTCCAGCTACTGTCTTGGCCCTAAATAGTTGTTGGACACTGGTATTGTCATTTTATTCTCATTCGCCTTCTAAATTGTTTGAACTTGTTCCACATTAACAGGTTTGCATTGTTCAAGTGGTATAATGTAGCAATTGTGACAGACGTGTGGCTTGTTAGGGCACGTAGGTGTCAAATGGTAAATGAGTTCTTTTGTTTGCTTAAAAAAAAAATGGGTACTGTAATTTTTTTTCCTATCCTAATGTCAGGATTGCCCTTCAGAAATAGCTTTCATTTTCTTAGGGCATATTTTCTTCTTTTGTTTTTCACTCACCAATATTTCCTTGAATTTTTATCTTAAGTATTTCTAGAAGTACACACTTTTGCAGAGTCTTTGGGCAAAACAATGAGATAGTTCACAGGATTGCTCTGGGGACACAGAAACTTTCACATCATGATCGTTATTCTCCATTCCAATAAACCACCGTCATGTCCCTGTAACTCCATGAAAAATACAAAAAGCAATAGCATCTGCAGGGGGAAGGCATAATTTAAAGGTTCACCCCCTTCTAACAGCTTGAGTCACTCTTATCCTTCATGGCTGCTCCCTGCTGCCCCCAGATGTTAGCTCTCCTGGAGCGGCAGCAGCAAAAAGCTGGGAACTGCAGGGAGGAGATGCTATTTTACCTCCCCAAAGAGAGGCAGCAGCTAAAGCAGTTGCTTTCCCTCTAGCTCCCAGCTGTTTGCTGTTCACTTCTCACAACAAAGTTCTCCATTTGCAGTTCTAGTGGGAGAGGGCCTGGCAGCATCATGTGAGCTAGCAGGGCCACTGTGTCACCTCTGTCTTCTGCTCAGCGGAAAGAGGCCTCTGCAGGTCCAATCCCAGAGCCTTTGCAGGCATGCTTGGCTCTTGAACTTCTGAATATTGTCATGTGTAACTCAAGGGGGCAGTCAGCTTGGGCCCTCAGCCGCCAGTTCTATACCTGTGATAGAAGTATACAGAATAATGAATGGGGATGCAAAAAATGAAAAAGGAAGTATTCTGTATCCCTGTTCATAATACAAGAGCTAGGAATCACCCAATGAAATTAATAATACATTTAATACAAGTTGAAGCTCTCTAGTCCAGCACTCTCTGATGCATGCTCTGGCATTATTTTAGTTAGCCAGGTGTCCATTTTCATGGGTGTGTCCACATTTCCTGTGGTTCCATAAAGTTTGTTTACAACCACCAGTGTCACGTGCTCTTATTTTGCTCTAATTTAGTCTAAATGGGTATGTCTACACTACCCCGCTAGTTCGAACTAGCGGGGTAATGTAGGCATACCGCACTTGCAAATGAAGCCCGGGAAATTCAAATCCCGGGCTTCATTTGCAAGTGCGGTATGCCTACATTACCCCGCTAGTTCGAACTAGCGGGGTAATGTAGGCATACCGCACTTGCAAATGAAGCCCGGGAAATTCAAATCCCGGGCTTCATTTGCAAGTGCGGTATGCCTACATTACCCCGCTAGTTCGAACTAGCGGGGTAATGTAGGCATACCGCACTTGCAAATGAAGCCCGGGAAATTCAAATCCCGGGCTTCATTTGCAAGTGCGGTATGCCTACATTACCCCGCTAGTTCGAACTAGCGGGGTAGTGTAGACATACCCAATGTCTTCTAAGAACCCATAAAGCAGTGGAAGTGTTGGTAATTCTGCTAGACAATATTGACCTCTAGTTCAGCACTGGTCAGGTCCCAAGAGTGCCTGACTATAGAGGGTCAAACAGTACAAGCAAAAGAAAGTATTTCTTCACACAATGCACAGTAAATCCATGGAACTCATTGCCAGAGGATATTGTGAATGTCAAATATATAACTGGGTTAAAAAGGAACTATATAAGTTCATGGAGGATAAGTCCCTCAATGGCTATTAGTCAGGGAGGCAATCCCATGCTCTGGGTGTCTCTACTCTCAGACTGCCAAAATCTGGGCATTGACAACAGGGGATGGATGACTTGATAACTGCCCTGTTAATTCCCTCTAAAGCACCTGGCATTAGCCACTATTGGAGGTTATTGGGCTAGATGGACTATTGGTCTGACCCAGTATGAACATTCTTATGTTATCAGCCCATAGTCTAAATACACAAGGCAGAGAAAGGATGTCTGTATTCTCTATTTAGAGCATGAAAACTGAGGGGAGAGGGCCCACATTCACAAAGGTACTGAGACATTGAAATGTTTAACCCAGAGGCTTCCTGATGCCTAGTGAATTTTCTGCCCTGAGTCAGATGTCTAGGATCTCCATACAGTGTTCTGAAAAAGTAGACACCTAAGGAAGAGATGGTCAAAAGGGAAACTACCTCAGGAGAAACGTTGAATAAAGGCATGAGGTTTAGATCTAGACCCCAAAGATATTTAGTCATCTCCCGTTAATCTGATAGACATGTTGCTGGGAATTCCATTGAGAGTATTTTTAATTCATCCCTGTAAACTCTTATAATTCACTATGTTTTAACAAAAAAGGATTATAGTCATTTTGGTTTCCAATAGCACTTTCTTCTATGTTATTGGAAGGGCAACTAAAATGATTAGGGTTTGGAATGGGCCCCGTATGAGGAGAGATTAAAGAGACTGGGACTTTTCAGCTTGAAAAAGAGGAGA